ACATAAATGAACGTAAACAAACACAAACGAACGAACATAAACGAACAACACAAACACAAAAAACAAACTTATTCGAGCACAACAAATGAATGTAAAAAGAAAGTAAACAACAAGAATAACAACTTAAAATTCTTTAATATAACATGCAACTTTAGAGTTAATTTGTTCGAATATGACAAAAACATACATAAATCATAAATAAACTATATTAACATAATAAAGTCTTAAAGTTAATTTGTTCAACAAAACAATCTTCTTGAAATCCAAACAACTTCAATAATCTTCGTAACATATTCAACTTGCCCTCTGTTCGAACATAAATGAACGAAAATAAATGAACATAAATGAATGAACATAAACGAACATATAATCGAACGTTCACGAACGTAAATGAACGAACGAGCCCTTTGTTTGTGTTCGTTCATTTAATTAAACAAACGCAAAATCTTGTTCATATTCGTTCATTTAATAAATAAACGAACATAAACGAGCTTCCCGCCTCACGGTTCATGAACGGTTCGCTGAACGTTCAGTTCATTTACAGGCTTAGTGGTAAGGTATCTATCCTTTTAAAATTATGAAAAAATCCCTAAATTTTCTTTTAAATATGTGAAAAATACTCTTAAGATCTTCCTTCTCAAGATTTTACTTTTGTTTTCGGATTCTTATTTTATTTTTCGGTGTTGAATCATCTTTTTTTTTCAATTTTTAATGGTGGGAAAGTGAAGAAAGAGGAGACAAACAATAGTACATAGATAATAATCATTTTCCTTTGAGTTTAAAGTTAAAGTTTTATGAGTTTTAAAGAGATTAGATGAAAAAATTCATCTAATAAAATGATAAGGAACGATGAGATGAAATCATCGATATCCGAAGTGATAGGTGAAGATGCTGAAAAATGGAAATGTCAACAATTACATAAGATAGGATGAATTGTTGGGAAGGGATTAATTGCAAAAATACGAGGATAAATGAGGCAGCTTCTACATCAACAAAAAAACAACCTATGTCAGAAAAACATACCTATAAAATAAAAAGCATACTTTTCCCTATAAAATAAAACAGTAGAAAAGATCAACAATTTAAGTCGATCCAAGAGGACAATATCTGAAGTATTGTGCAAATTTTGCACCTAAACGTAACAATTGTTGACTTGTAATAAAAGAAGAGAATATAACTTTATTGACACTCAAACATGGAGAAGAAGTAAAAAGGAAGAAGATTAAGCATCCTTTACAAAAAGATAGCCTTTGGAGGTAATTGAACAACTTTTCTGCTCACGTGATTTTGTTCTCTACCAAATGATTTTCGCGCAACTATATTGCAAGTTTATTCCACAATATCAATGTTTAACTTTCGAAAATAGAGTAAATTACACGTTTAGTATCCCAATTATCATTTTTATTATGTTTTGGTCACCAACTATTTTTTTATTTCAAAATCATGTCTAACGTTATATTTTGGCCATCCACTATTAAAAAAATAATGATAATATTAATGTGTCACCATAAGGTAATCTCATGACATCATTGAAATTTTTTTTAAAAAGTCACGCCAGCATTTCTTTAAAAATTTTAACTGCGGATGACCAAAATGTAACGCTAGATGTGATTTTGAAAAAATAATAGTTGAGTGACTAAAATGAAACAAAAATGATAATTGAGATACTAAATGTGTAATTTACCCTTGCATATAATATATATATATATATATTTGATAATATGATGTTAAAATTATAAATATAAACTAATTATAATTAAACACGTATAATTTAAGTTAAGAGCTTAATTGAATTAAAGTAAAAAAAAATAGATACGTAATTACACCAAAAAGAAATGAAATAATAAAAAATTATTAACAAGCAAGTTTAAGCTAAATTAATAATAAAAAATTGTATAAACATTACATATTAAATTTATGGCTTTAATTAATTAATTAATTAAAGTAGCAATAGGAAACATCCAATTGGGGATAAAACAATTATACAAGTGTAAGAAAAATTGCAAAAGATTCAATGAATTGTTTATAATTCATCTTGGATTTGCATTTTCAAGAACTTTGGAGCAAATATAGAAAACTTTCCTTTATTTGAATTGGAGGGCCCTTGTCTTTGTACCCTATTGCAAATAAAGGCAGCCCCTTTTTATTTCTATTATGCTCCTCCTAAAAGTCAGTCAAATGCCTTCATGTTTTCAATCTATCTTCATTCTTTCAAGGGACAAGTTTGTCATTTACTATAACTTAATTTAGGTTTTTTCTTTAAATTTTTTTTACTTTTGTCTTTATAAAAAAATTAAATAGTGAAATTTAATGATTTATTAGAATTGGAAAAGAAAATCAATTGAGATTTTTTATGATTTTTATTTATAATTATTGGTAATTGATTAATTAGATTTGATAGCATAGAGATCCATTGTAAGGATAGTTTTTTTTAATTTCTTTTACTCTATTAGTAATGTTAGAGTTTAGACTTATGAAAATATCACTCCTTGGAGAGGTAGAATACATTGATCCCGCGTTGAAACAAAAAAAAAAAAAGAGGCTTTGAAGTTTAAAAACGACGGCATTACATAGGGATGACAAACGGATACAGTTTCGTAGATTCCGTATCGCATCCGCTCTAATTGGGGCGGGAATGGGTATAATTTTAGCGGGTAGTGGGCGGGTGTGGATTTAGAAAGTAATACCCGTCGCGGGTAGTGGGCGGGTAATGGGTTTGAGTCATTACCCGCCCCGCATCCGCCCGTCTAGCTAAATATCCATTAAATTTTAGACCATTATAAATTTAGGTGTAATTTTATAGACTAATTTATAAATTGTAATATTGTATAAGATATAACATGTAATTTAACCAAATATTGTTATTGGGAATATTGTTTGTGCCACAAGAAGTATTTGATATCATTGAGTTGATTGTACCTGTCAAAACTTATTCTGGAATTGTGAATTGTGAATTAGCAAGATACCATATGTTTGGTGTAGATAAACTTATTCTGGAATTTTACCTGTCAAACTTCTTCGTTAAGTATGAACCATTATATACACTCAAAGCTGAAAAGATTTCCAGAGGGTCTCAAACATAGCACGAATGTATTTTATTGACCGCACCTGTGAACGTGATGAAGACATTAATAATTTCATCAAATTTATAACTCTAGTTGGAATGACTGTAAATATAAATTCATCTTTACATATCATTGCTTTTCATAAAAGCCAAAACCCGAAACCTCTTCCGTAAAAAAAAGTTTGTTTTCAGGCGGATCTAAACGGGTACGTCGCTAGTGGGTAGTGGGTGTGGGGATAGATTTGAGAATGTACCCGCGTGGGCGGGTGTGGATTTAAAAATTTGTACCCATCATGAGTGGTAGACGGGTGGTAGATTAAAAAATATTAAATAAGTATGGAGATGGGAAAGGGGGTACCCACACCCAACCCGCCCGTTTGCCATCCTAGCATTACACATCATATTAAAGATATCTTTTGAGAAGATATTAATGATCCTATTTCATCATAAATGGTATTAAAATAATCATTTGATTGTTTAAGTTTACACAAAACATCTCAATAAATAAGATAAACAGAATAAATAATCGTAATAATGATATATAACGACTATGCCATGAGAATATCATCTTAAAGGAATACAGTAGGGTTTTATACTTGTAATACTAGTTTATTGTTTCAAATTTTGATTTTTTTTTATCTATAATAGTAATTAGTTATTTTTCTTCTGAAAAAGGATCATATAAATTTTCAATCAATCATTTTACTCAAAAAATTATTGATAAAATTATTTTATTATCGTATATATTTATTAATATATTATTTAATCTAATGATGATAAGAAGTTAATCAATATATATATTTATCAGTAGTTTAAATTTTGATTTTTTTATCTATAATAGTAATTAGTTATTTTTTTTCCTGAAAAAGGATCATGTAAATTTTCAATCAAACAAGTAACCAATCATTTTATTCAAAACATTATTGATAAAATTATTTTATTAACGTATATATTTATTAATATATTATTTAATCTAATGATGATAAGAAGTTGATCAATATATGTATTTATCAATAGTTTAAAATTTTAAAAAAATACTAAACTAGAATGTGATAAATAATTTATCAATACATTTATACTATTTCGTTAAAATATAATTTAAAAAATTCAGTACATAATACTAAATTTATGACTTTAAAATAATACCTAATGCCTCTGAATATTCTGGAAAAATTTACTTATTTGTTTAAAAAATGGTTATAAAAATTAATAGCCGTCTGATCAAGTTTTAACTCACCGATCAGGATGATTTATTAACCTTTCCCGCCTAGGGTAGGTCTCTTCATCTCCTTAGGAAACATTTGCTGACAATTTTTTTATCCCAAATTTTCCTTTTTTATTTTTTATTTATTTGTTTATTTTAATATATTTCTCTGCACATTCCTTACATCATCACTCTTTCCACATTCTGTAGGCTTCTCCTCTCGCTCTCTTTTCTCTTTTTTTCCTTAAAAAAACAATTGTTCCTTGACTTTCTCTGCAAATTCTAACGTGCAGAGTGTATTCATTACAGTATTGAGCAGAGCAAATAAGAATTTCCATAATATCAAAATTCAAAGCAAAGAAAATGGTGAGAAATTTTGCTTCTTTTCTCCAATTTGTAAAGTGTTGAATGATGGGTACTTGCTTTTCCTTTTGGTGATTGTTGTTATCTGGATATGGTCTGTTTGTTTCCCAGGAATTTTTTTAGATAAACACAGAGAAAAAAGTACTATCCTTTTCAATCTTGTATTTACTGCTGCTTTGTTCAAATCATGAAAAAAAACTGTATTAGCTTTACTATCATGATTCCATTTCTTTTGAGAACTAATTAATCATCACAACTATAAACTTGGAAGGAATTGTAAATCTACAAACTTGAAAGTTTATAACTTTTTTTCGAACTTTTTTCGATTGGAATAATTCGGAATTTGGCTGTTGCAGGTGTATTCGCTTTACTCTCATGTGTCCATTGCTTTTGAGTACTTGTTAATCATCAAAGCTATAATCTTGGAATGAATCGTAAATCTACAAGCTTGAAAGTTCATAACTTTTTTCGAGCCTTTTTCGGTTCGAATGAATTCGGAATTTGATTGTTGCAGGTGGGTTGCGAGTTGTTCATGAAGGAGAAAACAGATTGGCTAAGTACTCTTCTTCGAACTGAGTTCTTTGGCCCTTGCTCTGATCATCAAGGCCTTCGAAAGAACGAGAAGAATGTGTTCTGCATCGATTGCAGCCTCGGGGTTTGCCGGCATTGTAAGGCTCATAGCCAACATCTTTCACTTCAGATCTGCAAATATGTCTACCAAGATGTTGCTCGCCTTCAAGAAATGCAGAAACATATTGATTGTTCCAAAATTCAGGTAATTTCCCAATGCCTCTCATTGATCTTAGTTCTTAAAATTTTCATTGTAATTGTAATGAATTCAATGCAGTTCACTTATTAGAATGCTCCATTTGTATCGAATTTTCTTGTGATTGTTATTGAAATACGCATACATGAACGAACAATTGGAATGATCATTGTTTTATATAATCATTCGACAGACATACAAAATCAATGGTGAAAAAGCTGTGCATTTGAATCCTCGGCCTCAAGCTAAAGACGCCAAGCCGTCAACGAAATCGAAAACCGGCTCCGCATGTGAAGCTTGTGGGAGATACCTTCAAGACTCTCCTAATAGATTTTGTTCCATTGCATGCAAGGTATGCGAAATTCAACCCCATTTTCAACACTTGGATTCACACATTTCCTTTAAACCTTAATCTTAACACACATTTCAGGTCTCAACTGTTGATCATGCAAAGCCTAGAAACCAAACCGGTAAACTCGAATTGTCGATACGAGAGTTCCCCGATCTTCCACGGAAGTATAATAAAAATTCACCGGAAATAAGCACAGAAGAGAAGCAATCATCCCTTTCATCAACCGATGTCTCCGAGGAGACAAAAACATCGTTGACCAAGAGTTTAAAGCCTAGGAAACGATTGAAGAAACGGAAAGGCACTCCTCATAGAGCTCCGGTCGGTTAATGATTCGAGGTTTTTGGTAGATACTCAACAAATGGTACTTGAAATTAGCCTTTAACCTCAATGAATTGAAGATTAGGCCCACATTTTGGAACTTAGTTGGGGGTTAGTTGAGAAGGCAGACCCACACTGCCATGAAAGGGTGATAATTCTGTTTTTGTACAGCATGTGAGGAAAATGGGTATTGAATTGAAGTTGACGGGCAGCAAGTAGCAATGTTTTCAAAGATCTATTGTATCTACCCTATGATTTAGTCTTCCTTTCGGTGCAATATATTGTCTTACATTCCTTTCAATATTATTTCTATCCAATAGATTAATTGATTAATTAACATCGTATCATGCAAAAAGGTAATTATGAAAGCGACTCTCAGTTTTCTCTATTCAATACGTGAGTTTGAACTTATGATCTTATCTCATTAGATCGACTTGTACTTAAATCAAATTCTTCTTGCATGATGGGAACAATGTCTTGTTTATTTTTGTGTTTTCTGGTTCAAGTGAATGTGGCAGACAAAAAGAGCTGCAGAAAGGGGAAGGGAATGGTGTGAAAATGGAGAATCCTACGAAGCAAGTAAGCAACGAGGTAAAAGGGAAAACAAAAAAGGTGGGAAAATTTGAGGGTCAGCAAGCGTGTAGCACATGGAGTGGCTAAACCCCTTTTCCCCCTATTTTTTTGCAGGGAATTGTCTGCCAACCAATACTATTAGGAGCATTAAGCATGTAGTCTAAACATGGTATGGCCATTTTATGCAGTTAAATATATATTTTTAAAATAGAAAAAGATTTATATTTGATCAATGGGATAAAGCAATTTTCGGTCTCAATTTAACAAATTTTCAATCTTGAGGTGTTTTTATGTAAATATTATTAAAAAAGGTTAATTACTAAATTAAAATTCATTACAGGTTAACTTTAAAATTGACATCCTTTTGATATTCATTATAAAAAGTATTTTCTGTTTATGTGGTAGTGAAACAATCATAGCTCATAGAGGTTGGGTCAAAATAAAAAAAAAATGTCTTCTATTTATGTGTTCGTATAAAGTCGTGTCTTTGACACGTATTATACCAGATTTTAAGACAAATTTCGTAATTATTATTATATTTTATATTTTTATTCCATTTTAGTCTAGAGTTTTCATAACGGTAATATCACTTAAACAAAAATAAGAACTACAAGAAGTATTTTTAAAAGAGAAAATCGCCTCAGTGACCAAAAAAAAGTTATAATATACGATTTTAACCAACTTTTTTTGGATTTGCCAAAATGACCAACAAAATCGCAACGCGAAATAAAAATCGCAACGCGATCCCCAGAATCGCAAATCAGTTTCCAGAATCGCAACGCGATTCTTGAAAATCGCGATGCGATAGTACAAATTCGCATTGCGATTTTCCATAATCGCAACGCGAATATGAAAATCGCAACGCGAACACATAAATCGCAACGCGTATCCGTAAATCGCAACGTGTATCCGTAAATCGCAACGCGTATGGGTAAATCGCAATGCGTATCCGTATATCGCAACGCGTATCCGTAAATCGCAACGCGTATCCGTAAACCGCAACGTGTATCCGTAAATCGCAACGCGTATCCGTAAATCGCAATGCGTATCCGTAAATCGCAACGCGTATCCGTAAATCGCAACGATAATCCGTAAATCGCAACGATAATCCGTAAATCGCAACGCGTATCCGTAAATCGCAACGATAATCCGTAAATCGCAACGAGAATCTGTAAATCGCAACGATAATCCGTAAATCGCAACGAGAATCTGTAAATCACAACACTGAAATTTTGGGTATATAACACTGAAATCATAAACTAAATCCCTAAATCGCAACTCATTCCATCTCCATCTATCACTCTCTCCGGCGACATCCGTTCCTATATCCAACGACATCCTTCCCCATCCGGCAACAGGTCTTAGTTTCGCATCTCGTTTGTTTAGTTACAACCATGAAATCATCTAATGTTGATCATGTTTGGATAGATTTGTGTTTTGGAGGGTCATGGGATAATGTTAATGGTGTTTTACAATATATGCCTTTACCCATAAATCTTCAACTAAAATTGTCTTTACAAAAGTTAACTTATGAAACTCTAATGCTACGTGTTTCAAATAAATTGAATTTAGAGCCCCTAAGTGGATTTAGGCTATCTTATCAGAGAAATGGTAAAGTTTATTTGTTAACCGACAATGAAGATGTTGAACGATTCATTGCTTACATTAGTGTTTCACAAGATGATGTTACATGTATGTTGTTGAACCTAGAAGTAGTATTGTTGGGTCAGTAGCGGGTAGTAATCAACTAAGTTTTTCTCAAAACCCACAACCTTTCTCTAATCCAAATCCCAATCAACTTTCAGCACCAAATTCCGGTTTTCGTATTGACCAGTTAGACGATGATGAGCCAACAGAAAAAATTGTGAGTACTAGTCAGTATTCGAAATTTGGTCTTGGTCAATATCCGGACTTTGATATTGGTCAATACACGGATTTTGATGATGTTTCAGAAGAAGAAACAGACCATGCGTGTAATGATATTGATATTGGTCAATACCCGAATTTTGATGATGAAACAGCCGTTGCCGAAGAATGTAATGTTGATGATAATGAGGAGGAAGTTACGACTGTGAATGAACATGTTGAACATCCATTCTGTAATTCATATAATCCTGAAGAAGAAAAAGAAGAAGAAAAAGTCCCCGAAGAAAAGAAAATGCCACGGGCGTATAACTGGAATATGCCAGAATTACTTCAGATACCGGAAGAAGAGTTGATAAAGAAAGCAGTTGATTGTTACACAAAAGTTATTCGTATCAAGAAAGATGATTGTTTTGATACAAAGGAAGACTTGAAGATAGCTTTATATACGAAATGTGTGGAAGATGGCTATCAACTAAAAGTTAACAAATCAAGCAAAGATCGTTTCGAAACAAGGTGTATGATTGACAAAAACTGTACGTGGCGTATGATTGCAAAGAGAATAAAAGATTGCAAAATGTTTCAAGTTAGGACTTTTATTGATAAACATACATGTTCAAGAACCCAAGTTTTTCCTCACCATAGACAGGCAAACAAAAAGGTGTTGGGTGGTTTTCTGGCTGAGTTAATGTTTTTGAATGGCAGGGTATATCGGGGACATGAAATTATGACTGACATGAATGCTCGGTTCAAGATTAGTATATCATATTCTCAAGCTTGGAGAGCCAAATGTTATGCCTTGGAATTGTTGAGGGGGTCGCCAGAAGCATCGTTTGCCCAACTGCCGGCTTATTGTCACAATTTAAAGCTGAAAAATCCTGGGTCGGTAACTCATATCAAAACATAGAGATGGACGCTTTGAGTTGCTGTTTATCGCCATTGGTGCTACGGTTAGTAAATCAATATAATTTTGTTGACTCATTTTTGTTAGTTACATGCATTTCACATTTAAATGATTATATTTCTTGTGTATATTATTTTGTAGATTCGTTCGTTTATTACTTGCATGCGCCCAGTTATTATAGTTGACGGAGCACATTTGAAAGGTCGATACCTTGGAGTAAACTTATTAGCAGTAGCCATGGATGCTAACAATGGATATTGCCAATAGCTTACGGGGTTGGCAATCTGAAACCTCTGATTCATGGACATGGTTTATGGGGCATCTTAGGGATTGCATAGGTCCTATTAGCAATCTGACAATCATATCCGATAGGGCAAACTCAATGACAACGCTGTTAGAAGGTGTTTCCCAGATGCTTTTCATGGACTTTGTGGTGTTCATTTGTATAGAAATCTAAAATCAAGGTCTGCTGGTATAAAAAAGCACAAATGGACATACTGGAAGGCTGTAAAAGCTTATCGGGAAGTGGATTTCAATAAGCATATAAATTGTTTAAGACGTGTTTTGCCTCAGTGTGCTCAAACACTAGAAGATGTCGGGTTTGAAAGATGGTCAAGAGTACATCAACTTGGAGCAAGATATGGTTTCATGACGTCTAATAGTGCAGAATCAATCAACGCTCTAAGTCGTCATTCCGGAAATTACCCATTACTATGTTAATGGAGTTTTTTCGAGCCTCTATTCAACAGTGGTACTACAAGAAAAGAAACCATGCAGGTATTTTTTGAATTCGTAACTTATCATATTTATATATTTTACTAAGTATTGTTATTTAAATTTACAGGAACATTGGAACATCGTGTTACACCATGGACTGAAAAAAAGATAACGAAACGTGTTGTGAAGTCAACGTCATGGAGAGTTGAACCATGTTCAAACACTTTGTTTCAAGTACTGGATAATAACTTAAATGGGCTAGTCGATCTAAATGCAAGACGTGTAGTTGTATAAATGGCAAACATCTGGTTATCCGTGTGGCCATGTTATAAAAGTTGCTTTCATTTAAACAAGAT